CACGCTTGGGAAATGAATGTGTGTAATTTATTTTGTACAAAAACGTTAATCTCTTTAAATTAACTGGCTTCAATTTAGTTATATCCATTCGCGATATGAATTATTTTAATAAACATCCTCTAGTGGCCATCAGTGGTTAAACCGGCTGTTTGAGGACGCCATAAACAGCGTGGCGCACGTGCCTTGTTTGCCTCCTCTTTTCAGATAAATGTGGTAAAACTGGACAAACAATCACACCTGTTAAGTCCATAAAAACAACTCAGCGTGGAAGAGAAACGAGTGATACACCTGTTAATTGTTGAACATCTAAATTGCTGCCATCCAACAATAGACGCGTTGGTCTTGATGTTCGTATTCATCCAGTAGATGTCAGCATAGCGTTAACTGAAGAACAATAGCAGAACAATGAATCCTCTTCTCATGTAGCCTACTGTAGGCATTTTATTCACTTTATTCATAGTATGCAATTACATTAATAACTTTTAAGGTACTATCATATTTGTGATATAATATGCTTAGATATACATATAATATAGGCTACAGTACACATTAGTATATAAAAATAATTGTGCATGTGCAATGTGTGCATACAATGTACACTGACGCATGGTACGCATCTTCCTCGTTCCTCATTGGCTGATGCATATATTTGACTTCTCATTGGTTGTGGGTGAGAAACCACTAATTAACATTATCATTAGGGCTTAATGAAGCATCACTGTCACTGACATACAGACCACAGATTTACAAAACTCCTGTAAAGCATGATGGATGCTGTGTGTTTAATCCTGTCTTCTTATTCAGAGGTTTTGTCCTTTTTTGTGTTTGTGGAGGCATGTTTTGAATGTAATGGCTATGTGTAATGTAGTGTTCATGCAATACCAGATAGATAGCTTCTGGCAAAAATATGAGTCCTCTATCCATTGCTTGCTCCAGTGATAAAGTCACCTTTTTTTGAATCAGGAGAGAAATATGCACAGATTTTGATGTGAGCGGACAACAGTGGATGGAAGTTTTCACTGGAGAAAGTGTTATTGATTATTGACTTTTCATTTCGGGGTGAACTATTCCTTTAAAATAGAGGAACGCAAGCAATTTGTAATAGTAACAATACTCATAATGTACAGTTATACAGCAATAATAGACAAAATAATACACCCGTTTCTTTCTATCTTCAATTCTTGGATTCTGAAGAATCGCTTTTAAGAATCCCAGCGCTGCAATTGACCATTATACAGAAACACCTCATTTGCATTTTTAACGACACTTCAGATGCCTGACCAATAAAGAGTAGTTATAGAGACGTGACTGTAGTCACGTAAGACTGTAGAATTGCAACATAAAGCATGCAATATGTCTGCTTTTCTCTTCCAGACAGCTGTATCCGCCTACAAATGCATTTTATGCAGATCAGTCATGCAACTGTGCTTCATACATTCAATGTTTCAGAGGCAAATGCATTGTCTGTTATTTAGGGGCGCCATTGTGGCAGACAGAGAGAATGGGAATGTTGGCGGACGAGTCTGGCTCTGCTTTTGCTTGGTAGGGAGCATGTAAAACAGGCCGTATTTGCTCTGACAGATGCTCATAAATCACCGTACGTGTGTGGTGGGGCCTGTGGTGCAGTGGCAAGCGTTTTTCGAGAAGTGGGCCGCTGAATCTCAGGGTTCAGCGGGGTCTCGGCGAGGACATATACGACATATACAACCCTCCTGGGCCGGTTTGATGCGGATTGTCATTCATAATACATACCAAAGCGTTACGGTGCTTGTCAAACCCCCTATAGTTTTATTGGTTTGGCAGGGGTGTCATATATGTGCGTAATTGCTGGTCGTGTGGACGTTTTTATTGGATTGTTTGCCCAGTAAAGAAGCGCTACGTGCTCCTCTGTGCCTCGAATTCAACATATCCCATGTTGCTTTGTTTGTTCGTGACATCTTATTTAGGTCATACATTCAGTGTTTCAGAGGCAAATGCATTGTCTGTTATTTAGGGGCGCCATTGTGGCAGACAGAGAGAATGGGAATGTTGGCGGACGAGTCTGGCTCTGCTTTTGCTTGGTAGGGAGCATGTAAAACAGGCCGTATTTGCTCTGACAGATGCTCATAAATCACCGTACGTGTGTGGTGGGGCCTGTGGTGCAGTGGCAAGCGTTTTTCGAGAAGTGGGCCGCTGAATCTCAGGGTTCAGCGGGGTCTCGGCGAGGACATATACGACATATACAACCCTCCTGGGCCGGTTTGATGCGGATTGTCATTCATAATACATACCAAAGCGTTACGGTGCTTGTCAAACCCCCTATAGTTTTATTGGTTTGGCAGGGGTGTCATATATGTGCGTAATTGCTGGTCGTGTGGACGTTTTTATTGGATTGTTTGCCCAGTAAAGAAGCGCTACGTGCTCCTCTGTGCCTCGAATTCAACATATCCCATGTTGCTTTGTTTGTTCGTGACATCTTATTTAGGATCATCTAACAGCATTTCTCACCCCTAATGCAACATACCGGCGGATCTGAAAATGAATCCTTCGGAGAACCAAATGTGTTGTGTAAATTAATTTAACTCGTGACTCTAAGCTCCGCAGAGGTGATCGATTGCATTTTACGGCCCACAATAGAAGCGAACCTCCTTTAGAGATGATATTGAGGTTTTTAGTGAGCTCGGTCTGCAATTGCACTTCAAATCTTTCCTCTGGCTTGTCAGCACTTTGCCAGCGTTCGCCAGCCCCACCCGCCTGCTGCGAGACCCTTTACCTCCACTGGCTCTTCCCACTAAATCACAATTTTTCACCCCTGCAAGAAGCTTGGCAAGACTGATAGCAATCAACACCATCATCTCCCAGCTTAATTACGGATTACCCAGAATTCGGAAATGAGTTCTGAACCACTGATAATATCCAGCCCAAAGCATCAACAGCCAAGCACAGATAACTGGTTGTCGTTGTGATTGAGTTAATAGTCTGTTAAGGCACATCAGAGTGGCATTTTATTTTATTTTATTTTATTTTATTTTATTTTATTTTATTTTCCATAAAGAAAGTTGGTTGTGAGCCAGGAAAAATGTCTCTTCTCGGCTCAAAAAAGGAAACCAATAATGTCTAAGGCATTTGGCCGAATTATCGGGAAAAAAGTTATTCATATATATATTTATATATTAACATATATGAATAATGTTCCTTAAATGTAATATTTCTTAACAAACAATATCATTATTATAATTAATACATATTAAATAAATTAACATATATAATGTTCCTTAAATGTAATATTTCTTAACAAACAATATCATTATTATAATTAATACATATTAAATAAATCATTACAAATTTTGTAAATCCTAAATAATAACAATCATAATAAGAATAAGTTTATAATATATATATATATATATATATATATATACAGTATACTGTAAAGGTGACATACATATCACCTTTTATTGGAAAATGAAAGAACAATTTATCAAACTTTAACTGCCTTAATCTTTTAAACAAGTGAGAAGATATTGATCTTCATTTTCTAAAAATCACCTGGCAACTTCAGTGAGCGAGGGACAACTTTATACTCACATGTGTTATGTATTACATTATGGTTTCTGACAGACAGCATGTTGAAGCCGCTCAGGCCGCCATTTTCTCTCATTTTCTTCTCAGAAAGTGATGACGTAGTCAAAACATCCGGTAGTGTGGGTCTTCCAGGTTTTGCATGTATTCCCTAGACCTCTACAGGCTTCTCGTAAATACTGCCATGTGCACATATTTTTTTGACAGACAAAATATTACATTCAGCTGACACAAAGTCGTTGACTTTTGAAAATCAAGTTCTTTTTTTTTCACCCGTGGTCTGGTGCACAAAGTTGTTTTTATTGTCTCTTAACAAAAATCTTTTATTTAAACCCATGAAAATGCTGATCCTGTTGTAAATAATAGTAAAAAACTGCTGTTCCATTATTATCTGTTAGTAGATTTTGACTTGTATTGGGCTAAATCTGTTTCAGCGTACTGGCCTTAATATGAGCCTCAACACCATTTCAGTAGGGTGAGTGACAGAGAGAGACAATGAAAGAGTGCAGTATGTCATTGTTGAGACAGTCACTGTCCTCTTATCTAGTAACCTTTCACCAACACTCTGGGTTTTCATACTCTCACCTCTCAATCTCTCTGATGCCCTGTGTGTGTGTGTTCAGATCTCTCTGAGGCTGGTCTAGCACAGTGCAGGCCTGCTCATGACATGCTGGGAATAGAATGATGTTCTCAGAACCCAACCCTTGAATTCACTTCGAGGGGGAAACAGACTGGTAAGACAGGGAATAGACTAGAAACATTAAAGTAAAGGTGACTGTTTCGTATTCTGTGGTCAGATTTGGATTCCAACAGGTTTGGATTTATATTGTATGAGCAGTGTGGCTTTGCCATGCACAAAAATTGCATTTATTCTTTTCTTTCTTTCTTTTTTTTATTGAGGCTATATATTTATTGAGAAAATATCAAAACTGTGAACATTTACTGTCAACTAATTGCTGCAGTCTTCTCTACAGCAGTATTTTACCTTATTAAGAGCCCTTCTGACACAGAGAAAGAGAGGCGAGAGGGGGGCGCACAGGAAGTGT